GATTGTGAATTTGACGTTGGATTTGGATAATTTTGGTATGGTTAGACTCGTGAGAGTATGAGGATTTTGAAAATGTAAATTTTACCCGATTCCGAGACGTGGGCCCGGAGGGCGTTTTGGTCATTTTACCTAATTTCGCGTATTAGCTTAGAATTTATTTGTAGAATCAATTACTTGAAGTGTTATTTACATTAAGCAATTGAATTGAATAGATTTGGGCCATTTGGAGTCGAGTACTCATGGCAAGAGCGTGGTTTCGGGTTGATTTTGAGTCGGTTCGAGGTAAGTGACTTGTCTAACCTTGTGTGGGGAAACTCCCCTTAGGATTTGGTTTGTTGATAATTGAAATGCCTTGTACGTGAGGTGACGAGTGCGTACTTGTGATAATTGTTGAAACTCCATTTTCTTTAAGTAGCTATAAATGTGATTTCTTTTTTCCTGTTCCTACCGTGTGTAATTTAAGTCTGCTATTAGCTTAGGGAAGCATGTCTAATTGTCTTAATTGCCTTATTTGCTTAAACTTCCTTAATTGGATTATGTGTGGCATGCTAGGTTAGAAATACCTGTTTTTACCTTGGTATGAAATTAGAATTGAATTGAGTATTCTTCGTGTTGCTGTTGTGTGTTTACTTTGGGACTACGGGACGGTATCCCGGGAGATCCCCTGCTTGTTTACTTTGGGACTACGGGACGGTATCCCGGGAGATCCCCCTGCTTGTTTACTTTGGGACTACGGATTCGTATTCCGGGAGATCCCCTGCACCTGCATTGATTTGGACTGTAGTGCGGGATACCGAGAGATCCCTAGCACGTATATTGAGGATACCAAGAGATCCTTGGGATACCGAGAGATCCCCGGAATATATATTGAGGATACTAAGAGATCCTCGGGATACCGAGAGATCCCCAGCATATATATTGAGGATACTAAGAGATCCTCGGGATACTGAGAGATCCCCAGTACACATATTAAGGATACTAAGAGATACTCGGGATACTGAGAGATCCCCCGGTTGTTATCTCTGCGTTGAGCTGTATTTATTTCCGTGAGTACTTTGTTTCTGTTAAAGTTGCTGTTGTTCTTCTATCCCGTGTTACTTTTTACTGTTGCACTTAATTATACTGCCTTATTCTACACTGTTATATCTTGTATTTCCTTTTGCCTCAGTAGGGCCCTGACCTTCCTCGTCACTACCCGACCGAGGTTAGGCTTGGCACTTACTGAGTACCGCTGTGGTGTACTCATGCCCTTCCCGCGCATGTTTTTCATGTGCAGATCCAGGTACTCCCACTCAGACTTATCACGCTTGAGGCGAGGCATTTTGTAGAGACTCCAAGGTATATCTGCCGCGTCCGCAGACCGAAGAGTCCCTTTCTATTCTCAGTACTAGTATAGCCCTTTCTGTATTTTCTCTTGTTGGTAGACATTCTGGAGTTAGAGCTTATTATGTAATCTTTTAGTTTGTGATTCATGGGGTTCCCGATTTTGGGGGTGTTAGATTGAGATTTTGTACTGTTATATGCCAGGTGGCATCTTAAACACTGTCTAGCCTTGTTATCTCGGTTTTTAATTAGTTTCTTCCGCAATTTGTTTCTTTTTCCGCATTTGTTAGGCTTACCTAGTCGCAGCGACTAGGTGCCGTCACGACAGTTCACGGAGGGCGAACTGGGGTCGTGACAAGAGCACATATAGCTTTATCAGAGTGGGAAGAAGTACTAGCCATTTGTTTTCTTCGATCGAAAGAAGCGAAGATGATAAATGAGAAAGGCAATGGTCACCGCAAATCCTAGCAGAAGCTGAGATATGAGAGGTTAAGGAAAGAGGAGAAGACTTATGAAATTCTTTCTTAAACAATTGAAAAACGTAACGTTCAAATGAGGAGCTCCCCCCTTATTTATAAGGATATAAATGTCCTGAGCGGAAAAACCAAGAGCCGCCAATCAAAAAATGGAAAGGGCACGGGAAACGACACAGTACCTAGAAAACGTGCGCCATAATGACGCATGGAGAATATTGATGACACCCTGAACTGACGTGATGATCCAATCTTGAACTGACGTAACAGTGCGACGCGGTCATTGCCAAATCAATAAATATAGATCTCATAGTTATCAATGGCGTTCCTTCTTTTTCCTCTTTGCTCTTACATTATGGAACGATACGCCAAAGATGTAAGCTTATTGTTTATATTTGATATCTTTTAATGATCTTAAATCGAGCTATAAGCTTGATTATATCTCATCCTCTTGTTCAATGCGCTAAGATCTAGAGTTAATTATCCTTCGTTGAGATTTATTCTCTATTTTATCATTAATTAGTTTAACAAGGACTTTAACACTTTTTGGTCAAACAGAATGCAAATCCTTACTTAAGTGAAGACATATGTGTGGTATATACACATAAGGCCTAAGGGCTAGGTCTTGAACCTCAAACAATTGGCACAAGTACATGCATCAAGAGGTCAGATCCAAGTGAACAAGACTACTTATAAATTTATAGTGGTACAGTTGGAGCTCCTTCAAGTGGGATAATTTATATCTAAAGAAAATCCAAAGCAGAAAGTTATGAAATGGACTTGCCAAGGCTCAACACCAGCACTGAAAATGAGATTCATATATAGCAGATATTGTAGGGTCCAAATTCTTCGGTGGTTTCCATGTCATGGATGATGTGTTACAGTTCTCCTATGGCTCCTACCTCTGTTCTTAATTGAATTCCTGAGATTATGAATTAGTAAGCTTATCCAGGAAGGGGAGCCTTGGCGTAACTGATAAAGTTGTTGTCATGTGACCAGGAAGTTACGGGTTCGAGCCGTGGAAACAGCCTCTTGCAAAAATGCAGAGTAAGGCTGCGTACAATAGACCCTTGTGGTCCGGCCCTTTCCCGGACCCCGCACATATCGGAAGCTTAGTACGCTGGGCTGTCCTTTAATAAGCTTAGCCATCGAGCTTTAATTTAGGGGGCAAGAGCGCATCACGTGATGTGTAGGTTAGACGCATGTCACGGATTCGAGTTTTGCCCAAACAAAGCCAAATATTTATGTCGAGAAGGATAGAGGGGCAATCTCACTATCGATCGAGAATTTGGAACCATGTTCTATTGGCCCTTGAACTCGGTTATAGAAAAAGTAAGGTACTAATATATATATATATATATATATATATATATAAACAAAGAAGAAAATTATTTTTTTATCCAATTGTTCATTCTTGGAAAGAAAAAGAAGCAGATAGAGCAAGGGCCGCTACAATTGCTTTAGCGCTAGGTCTCTCGAGCCTTGCCTTTTTCCATGTCTCCCGAAGAAGATTAAGAGCTGAAAGTGAATGCCTTTTTCCATGTCTCCCGAAGAAGATTAAGAGCTGAAAGTGAATTTAACTGGATCAGTAGAAAAACCTTTGTCAGTACAATAGGAAATAGATTTTACTCATTTAATATTTAAGTCCATAAAAATCCAAATGATTTTAGCCCTTTGAAATTGCCAATTAGAACTCTCATTTAACAGTTAATGTTCTTTTCTTTCCTAATTATAACTTCGGCAACTATCAATCAGATTGATGTTCTTTTGATCTTTCCAACTTTGGCAACTAGCAAGCTTTTCAGATTCCTTCTCTTTTCTATTCCCATAAACAGTTTTGTGCCAAGTTGATTCACAGTCAAGAGAATAATAAATAAATAAATAAATAATAGAAACCCCTCTGCGTGTTTGGTAACATCAGAAAGGTTCCAAAGCACTAATAAAAATCTCAATGATTGAAATTTTCAATATTTTCTTTTTGATGTTTTGGTTTAATATAAGAGATTACAAATTAGTCAGAAAAAGATTGCAACAATAACTACGCCTCAATCCTAAAGAAGTTGAAGTCGGCTATATGAATCATTACTCTCCATGTCCTCTCCATCTTAGTGTCACTGTGACTATTACAATGATTGGTGTAATTTAAATTATAACGAAGATTTGGAACTTAATCTTTGGGGTGCGCTGGAAGTTCGAGAATTTAGATGTCTTTTTCTTTTTCTTTTTCTTTTTCTTTTTTTTGGGGGTAATTGAGAATTTAGATGTCTGTTTCCTTGCACTTTCAAAATCCAAGATATCAAAGAATCCTTGTGACTTTTAACCGTTATTAGGATCTTAGACAATATAGTGCAAAAGCACCTAACTTGTCCCCTAATTTACTTGTACCACAAGCAAATTCCTAATGAAATTTGTCCTGCAATTGCCAAGTCAAACATATATCTGTTTCATATCTTCATACATCCCTATCAAAATAGACAAACACTTACTCACACCCAGTGTTTGTGCTAATCCAACGAATACATGGCTTATGGTTTTCTATACACTGTTATTGCTTAACCATGGTTAACTAATTAATATAGATACTCACCTCAAATTTTGTCACTTTGCTATGGCAAGCTGATGTAATCCAATAAATGAAATGTGTCTTTATATACACTGTTATCACTTAACATAGTTAATTAATATGCATACGCACCTCAGTTTTATTACTTTAACTATGGCAAACTAATGTAATTTAGTGTAAACATCGAGTGTGGGTTATCACTATCACACAAGTTGGTTCAGACCATTAAGATAATAGTTTTGAGATTATTCTTATCAAGAAAGAGGCCATCTCATCTCATGCAACAACAACAACAAACCCAGTGTAATCCCACAAGTGGGGTTTGGAGAGGGTATTGTGTACGCAGACCTTATTCCTACCTTAATGTGAAGGTAGAGAGGCTGATCCCGATAGACCCTCGGCTTAAAAAATAATTGATTAGTAGTTCTCCCTCAGTAGTCAATATCTTTTAGGCAAAATACATAGTCTACAAAGGTCGATGGGTAAACTATGTAGTTTGCCTATCTTTTACAATAATATCTGCAAGGTCGATGGGTAAACTATGTATTTTGCCTATCTTTTACAATAATATAGTTTCTAATAGGAGCATCTGAAGGTTGGCAAGGAAACTCAGAAAGTAACATCTTCAATTATCTAAAACAAGTAATTCAAGGTCCAAAAAGGTTGCTAGGGAAAGTAAAGGCAGAATTCCATGCATTCAAAATGAAGTTGAACAGAATGTCAAAAGTCATACTTGAGTTTTACCCAGGTGGACCTTATTTGCTGCTTTGAGTTCCCAATAAATACTAGACCGCCATCACTTCCCTGCAACAGCAACTCGTTCTCTTTGCTTAATTCCCTTTCTTGTGATCATAATCCAAATGGCTCCTCTTCAACTTCTTGCGGTCTTTGCAGCAACTTTTATCGTCATGCAAACTACGGGAAATTCTCAGACATGCCCGGATTGTTTCGTTCATTCTCGTGCAGCTCACTATCCAAATTCAGAAGAAAAAGGAACAGAAAGTGAGATGCTTAACATGCATAGTTGAACAATAACATGCACCTAAAGTGGAGAAAATAATTTTTTTTCCATAGAATAACCTTTTGTGTTTGATTGCATGCAGCTGGGAGTTGTGGATTTGGTACTTTTGGAGCAACAATTAATGGCGGAGATGTGTCAGCAGCATCAGACCTCTTTCGAAATGGTCTAGGATGTGGTGCATGCTACCAGGTAATGATCAAAAAGGAAGAAGCATTATAGTCAATAAATAGATGATAAATAGCCAAGATTTTCAAATATAAGATGTCATTCCAAACTCTACCTTGTTTTGCTAGGTGAGGTGCACCAATAGTAACTACTGTTCTGATAAAGGAGTGACCGTAGTTATAACAGATCAAGGAGCAGGTGATCACACAGACTTTATTCTAAGTCAGCGAGCCTTTGCTCGCATGGCTCAGACGACAGATGCTGCTGCTTCTCTATTATCACTTGGTGTGGTGGATATCGAGTATAGAAGGTAAGATGTGTAATTGGGAAATATGGATATTAATTCATCGTAATACATAGGTATCCATAAGCAATTTCTTTTCTGTTAGAGGGAGACTCACATATTTGTCGCTCTTTTGCCATCGAACAGGGTCTCATGCAGCTATCCAGACAAAAATATTACAATCAAGATTGAAGAGAGCAGCGACAATCCTCATTACTTGGCTTTTGTGATATGGTATCAACAAGGAAAAAAGGATATTACCGCTGTGCAACTATGCGAGGTATATCTGCTAGATTTCAAGAACCTAACACCGGTTTCATCTTTCAGAATGCACTCAAGGTTCCACACAGCAAGAGTTTCTATTAAGGCATAAAATAAAAGCTGTAATAATGAAAATACCTAATAAAGATGTACATACACTCGCTAAAGAAATAACAATAGGAGGAAGTTAAGGATGCTTCATCCAAATTCCTATATTTCAACATTTTGAATACTATCTTCTTTCAATATGCAGACACAAAATTTTGTATGCAAGCTGTTGGACAGGACACGTGGAGCAGTGTGGACTACTACTTCACCTCCAAGGGGACCTTTGCAAATCAGAATGTTGTTGAGTGTTGATGATGGAGATGAGACTTGGGTTGTTCCTGTCAATAATATACCTGAGAACTGGAAAGCTGGTGACACATATGACTCAGGAATACAAGTGGATGCATAAACACAAAGGACTCTGTTGCTAAGATCAACTTGTTACTAAATAAGTTTATTGGCTCTTTGATGGTGTTACTCTGTGTTAGCTCTCATTCTTTTCTGTTAGTAGTTCTACTCAACAAAACGATCCTCACTCAATTATGTATTTTCAACAAATACAGTTTTAAGTTTTAAAGCAGTTTTTCATATTGATGACCAGATTGTACGAAATACAGAACTTGTCTAAATTTATTACTTTAAGCTGTGGATGAGCCCATCATCTTCCTGAACAGCATCCGCCAATACACATTCAATAAGTACAAGGACATTCCTTTAAGTACTAAATTCTGCATTATTGCACAGAATTACTCCATTTCATTTTATGTGAAGGTGTTTGACTGGCTACGGAATTTAAGAAAGAATGAAAGAAAGAAAGAAAGAGACGTTTGGAATCTTGTAGTCTTAAACGTGCCATGGCATTTTTGTGACTATAAAATCATGTCATTAAGGGTAAATGGCAAGTTTAGAGTTAAACTTTTATAAAAAGATACCATTCTTTTTGGAACAAGACTAAAGAGGAAAGATTCTCACATAAAATGGAACGGAGGGAGTAGTCTTTTATTCAAAATATGTTTATGTTCAACTATTTTAGCATATTATTTCATGTATAAACTAAATTTCTTCAATTACATAACAGGTCTGATTGTTCAAACTTAAAATATTGCTTGCATTACATTAAACGACAAACTTCTGCACATTAATTCAAAGCAAATGCTAGCATTTATTGGAAAAATACAGCCACCAAAATTAACCTGTACAAATAGAACATTAATTCTGGTCACAAGACTCTAGACATGAGAACCTCTTAGCTCTTAATAATAACACAAGTAATCAAGAAGTGGCAAAGAAGTCAACTTCAAATGTACTGTAGTAGCTACGGTTGTTACAGACAAAGGGGATGAAACTGTGATCGTTACAGATACAAGGGAAGACAGCTATATGATTAGAATTCATCAGCTATCACAACCTGAAGAATCTTCAGATATATTATGGGGAGGAAAACAAAGTAGGAAATCTTGGAGTGGTCAGCTTATTAACTTTGGGATTTCACTGCCATATGTGATGATCTTAAGTTATCAACTAATGACTTTTTCTTCAACCTGTGGATATCTCAGCCCTTTTAAATTCTTAACTTTCAAGAATTCCACCAGTGATGTTCACTTTCGCTATTCCAATTGTCAGTTCTCATCCCACCACAAAAGTTGCAGGTCAGTTGTATACAGTCAAACAAGCATATAATGGACTTGCTGTACCATGCCAAACTTTCTGATGTACCTGAAATGTGCAAAGAAACGTGGGTCTTAGCTCAAAAGCTCGTGCAGTTTTGTTCGTGAGTTTGATGTCCTCGATCCGCTATCTCTTTTGACATCCATGTCTCTGTTGTTGTTTCATCGAAGGCAATCCCTATATTCAAGTTCCTTCATTCCATCACCTTTCGCTCTGGCATTTGATCTGAGCTCCCATCTCATTCAACATGGAACACAGTATATTTCTCTTGTGTACTGAAACATTTTCTGGAAAACACCACATGTTCGAGTTTGCAAATTGGACTAGGCTAGATCCTGCTTCCTTTCTAATTCCCTTTACAACCATCATATTCCTCACCTTCTCCACGTCATCCCATCTCTCTTGTGCAGCATATATGTTGGATAGAAGCACATAGGATCCAATATCCTCTGGATCCCTCTCAATTAATCTTTCGGCTATGATCTCACCAAGTTCCGCATTTGAGTGGGTCTTGCAAGCTGAAAGCAAAGCTCCCCATAATGCCGGTCCAGAGTCCATAGGCATATTCTTGACAAGGTCTTCAGAATCTCTCGTCAAACCAGCTCGTCCAAGAAGATCAACCATGCAGCCGTAGTGCTCAACTTTAGGCTCTATTCTATAAACTCTAGTCATTACATTAAAATACCACCAGCCCTCTAATACCATACCTGAGTGAGTACATGCACTTAGAACACAAACGAACGTAGCATCATTAGGCATCACTCCACTTTTTTCCATCTCCATGAATGTTTCAAGTGCTTCCTCACCATGCCCGTGGGTTCCATAACCCATTATCATAGAGTTCCACGACACAACACTTTTCTCTGGCATCTGAGCAAATACCTCCTTCGCCAAATCCATCTCCCCGCACTTGGCATACATTGTCAACAGGGCAGTTGAAAGCAACGTGTCGGGGTTAATCCTCCCACTATAACTTATATAAGAGTGTATCCACTTTCCTAGATCAAGTTTCCCTAAATGCGCACAAGCAGTCAAAACACTCATAAGGATTGCCTCATTTGGCTGAATATCTCTTCCCTGCATCAATCTATCAAACAATCTCAAACATTCCCCATAGTCCTTTAGTCTCACATAAAGAGCCATTAGAGTTGTCCAAGATACTACATCCTGATAATCCATCTGCTCAAACAGAGAACGGGCAGCTACTACATTTCCAACCTTAGCATACCCATCGAGCAAACAATTCCAAGTAACAATATCCCTCGAAGGCATATTCATAAACAGCAAATTTGCAGCCTCCATATCTCCAATCCCCACATATCCAGATAACATGGAATTCCAACTAAATACATCCCTTTCGGGCATTACATCAAAAACACGACGCGCAAAATTCACTTCTCCATTTTTCACATAGCCGTCAATCATAGTATTCCAAGTTACCAAATCTGAGTCAGAACTTAAATCAAACACCTTCCTCGCATCACCAATCCGCCAACAAACCGAATACATATGAATCAAGACATTCCTAGTATACAAATCCAACTCAAATCCACATTTCACAATATGGGCATGAATCTTTTTACCTTCTTTTACCATACCCAGATCAGCACAAGCCTTAACCAATATCGGAAACGTGTAATTATTCCGAAAGATCCCATTTTTAACCATCTGATCATGGTAAAACACCAAAGCCTTTTCAGGTTCATTAAAATTCACATAACTTTTCATAATAGTATTGCAAATAAAAGCATCTGGGGTTTCAAGATTCTCAAAAATCTTTACAGCATGAGCAAAAGTGAGCTGTGAAGAGCAAAGTTTCTTCACAACTCGACCTGCAGCTAAAGGGTGTTGAAAAATGCCTGAAAGTATGAGCTGGGAATGTATTTGATTAAAATGTCTCAAGTTTGCGGTGCAAGAATCTAAGATACGTAAAATGGGGTGGCTTAAATTCAATATATGTACACTATTGTTGTTGTATGGGTCAAAAGATTCAGCATTATGTTGATCAGACCAGAGTTTTGGAGTGGGCTTTGAAAGGTTTATTTGAGTTTTGATGAACTTATTAACGCATTCTGAAGAAAGGGAGAGGGATTGCTTGGGATGTTTAAATCTAACGGGCATATTTCCTCCCGCGAAATTTGGCGGCCACTGGAAATGTTTTAGAACCCTTAAGAAATTCGTGCTTGCCTGCTTGGTGGGGGGAGAAATACGAGGTACTTTATCGAATTTAGTGACAACATGAGTACTTTACTAAGTACCACATTTTATTTCAAATTTGCATACATCAACAAATTCTATTTCTTTCTCATGGCGTATGCAATTATTTTTATTAAGCTTGTATATTTATATTTACTCATTTGTAACATAATACACGTTTCAAATTCGGATATAGGATGATGATTGCGGTAGGTTGACTACCAGCATAAAAAAATTCATGATGAGTCCTCATAACATAAATATTATTGGGACGTGCTCACTTGGGCACGCGTTACGTCGGAAGTGATGAAAAATAAGCAATGGGTGCCACCACAAGTCGGAACGAAGGGGTAGTTGTTGGTGGTGTTGCTACTCATTTGTAATATATAATCTTTCACATTTTTAATAGGTAAATATCTTCGCATAACTGTGTTTTTCCTTTACCTACTTTTTCATAAAAATATTTATTTTATTTACTTTTCAATAATTAGTTTTATTAAAGCATATACTTTTAAGTTTTAATTACAATAAACTTAATTTTGTTTGGTGAGAAATTTTAATTTTGCTTAATAAAAATATTATCCAATTATGGAATATAAGGTTTTTTTGATAACGTCCACAAAAAAATGATGTTTTTGACAAGAAATTAATCATAATCATATTATAAATAAACCAATTGTTTGGACACATTAGGTTTGTAATTGCCAGAATTAAGTACTACTATTGCGAAGGTCATGTTAGTTAAGGGAATAAAGAAAATTAGAATGTTAGGATAATAATCAAAAAGGCAAAATAAACTGTCTCATAAACCAATAGACAATTCGATCAATAATTTGACATAAAAGGGAGAAAATGTTGATTGGTAGTCCAAGTTAGTCTGACTGGTGAACATTTTATGTTAGACAGAGTAATGTCCTTGACTAGGTTCAGCTCTTAATTTCCATAATCTTCTTCTCTTTCATTACATTCATGTTTATCTACATTTTGTATCCTCTACCACTTGAGCTTTGTGAATTGTGATACGGTTTAAGTGACCATTTGCGTATTAAACCAACTAAAACAGCAACTCCAAAACTGCAGAACTCCCGCTTGAGTTCTGTCACTCCATATCTTGCAAATGTTGTTCCCCCTGTATTTACTACTTAATTGTGAGCGCGAAAAAAATAAATTTATTCAACACCTCGAAGCAATTTTACAACACACAATGTTTCTTCTCTAGCTCAGCCAGTCACCCAGATATCTTTCAAGTAACCGATCAAAAATGCGTCACTTCACTAACAAGTAGATCCATGAACTAAACGTAATAAAGAGAAATGTCTTGGCTTTGCAAAAATAGGCACACAAGTGCGATATTCTGATTCCAACATTCCTCAGATACAGGGCATTGCAGAAAGAGATGCAGAAAAACAGAACCTTATCCTTCACATTTTGAAATAATTCCAACAGCAAAAGGAAAAAGTAACAAACAAATCAATAAACTAACTAACTAGAGTTGCAACACTAAATCGGAAACATTTTCTAATCAACATCTCCAGTCCACATCCTGGAATGGTTGTTATATACTTCTCCATTTTTTGCCTCTAAGTTCTTACGACATCTCTCTGAACCGAGCAATGGCCTTCTTTTGTATGAGAGTCTTGTAACTGTCACCAGCCTGTACTTCAAGGTTTGGGTCAACCTTCTTGGGCTGATGAATTCCAAGTCCTGCTCTACGTTCAGATGCTTGAGCTTGGACTGGCTCTACCATACCACTTCCATCCTTCCCCAATCCCTGAATTCATGACAATAAAAG